CCCCAAAACCCCAAAACCCCAAAACCCCAAAACCCCAATCGAAAATAATTATATTGAAAATGGACCAAAACCCATCGCTTCCCAACACGAACGTCACAGCTTCTTCATTCCCCATAAATCTCCTTCCCAGTCACCCTCCCCAGTTAAGTAATCTTTACTTGCAACTCTTTTAGGTGCTGATCAAGAGAGCTCACATGCTGTATTACTCAAAACAGACGACCGCCTTTCTGTCACAGAAGATGACTCCAAAGACTCTGAATCCCAGAAGAGAAAAGGGAAGAACAAACAAGGCATAGAAGAAAAGAGAATGAAAGGCAGAATTCGTTCTAGAAACACAAGGGCTAGAAAATAAGAATTACATTGACTCCCTCGAGAAGAAGATACAAGAGCTTGAAAGCGAAAATTTCAGGCTCCAAAACCTTCTGCTTAGTTATAGAAATGAGAAAATAGAGAGCATTGATAAGAAGTGCCAGAGATATTCGCAACAAATGAAAGATGCCAAGAGACATATTCTTGAGAAATTTATCAATCCAGAAACTGGTAAACCATGGAATAAAGCACCCGAGAAGTACTCAAATAATTTCAGAGTGTCCTGTCCAGAACTTCTTGACATGCATTCAGAGTTTCTGGACGATATCTTTAAGATGATTATTAATAACCTGTATCCTCTAAAACAACTCAAATATTGGAAAATCCTTGACGGAAATTATGACAGAAAATACGAAGTTATACGAGATTTCTTCAAGTGCTCAAAGTATAAACTTCCAGAATTTAAAGAAAAACATAAGTTTAATGCCATCGATGAATATGTGATCTCATTCAAGCCGAACAAGGATCAGTTCAACTTCCTCGTAGACCTACTTAAGATGGAAGCAAATATCAAGGCTCAGTACAGAAAGGCGGTAGATCTTCTCCTTCAAGCGAAGACTCAGATTGAAAAAGCTACAGGCGAGATCTATAATCATGGCTGAGTTCTAATAAAATCTGAGATTATTAGCCAGGAACAATACCTAAACTCCATCGCTAGGGAGAGATTTGCTATTGAAGAGGATGGATTTACCAATATTTGGGAGGTCCAGAGCACTCCTGTGACCTATACTTACAACATTGCCCAAGATCCGCATATTGGAAAGTACGTACAGAAGTATATGGAGAAAAGTGATCATGAAAACGAGACCAAGTATAATAATTTCTCAATTCAAGCGAATTAGATAAAATTATAAATTTGTCACATGTTTCAATACCATGAATAAACTCCGGGGTTTTGGGGTTTTGGGGTTTTGGGGTTTTGGGGTTTTGGGG